CCTCTCCAGCCTGTCAAGGTCCCTCTGGATGGCATCCCTTCCCTCCAGCGTGTCCACAACACCACACAACTTGGTGTCATCTGCAAACTTGCTGAGGGTGCACTTGATCCCACTGTCCATGTCACCAACAAAGATGTTAAATAGCACTGGTCCCAGTACTGACCCCTGAGGAACACCACTCGTCACTGGCCTCCACGTGACATTGAACCACTGACCACAACTCTTTGAGTGCGACCATCCAGTCAATTCCTTATCCACCGAGTGGTCCATCCATCAAAACCATGTCTTTCCAGTTTAGAGACAAGGATGTCATGCGGGACAGTGTCAAATGCTTTGGACAAGTCCAGGCAGATGACACCAGTTGCTCTTCCCTTATTCACCAACGCTGTAACCCAAGGTAGAAGGCCACCAAATCAGTCAGGCAGGATTTGCCCTTAGTGAAGCCATGTTGGCTGTCACCATCACCTCCTTATTTCCCATGTGACTTAGCATAGTTTTAGCAAGATCTGCTCCATGATCTTGCCGGGCACAGAGATAAGACTGACTGGCCTGTAGTTCCCTGGGTCTTCCTTTTTCCCCTTTTTGAAGACAGGGGCTATGTTTCCCCTTTTCCAGTCAGTGGGAACTTCACCAGACTGCCACAACTTCTGAAATATGATGGATAGTGGCTTAGCAACTTCATCTGCCAGTTCCCTCAGGACCTGCAGATGCACCTCATCAGGTCCCATGGACTTGTCCACCTTCAGGTTCTTTAGATGGTCTCGAATCTGATCTTCTCCTACAGTGGGTGGTTCTTCACTCTCCCAGTCCCTGCCTTTGCCTTCTGTGACTCAGGCAGTGTGGCTGGAGCTCTTGCCAGAGAAGACTGAGGCAAAGAAGTCACTGAGTATCTCAGCTTCCTCCATATCTTGGGTAACCAGGTCTCCTGTTTCCTTCTGGAGAGGGCCCTCATCTTCCTTAGTCCTCCTTTTATCCCTGACATACCTATAGAAGCTTTTCTCGTCACCCTCAATGCCTGTGGCCAGATTTAATTCTACCAGGGCTTTAGCTTTCCTAACCCGACCCTTGGCTGCTCAGACAACTTCTCTGTCGTCCCCTTGCGTCTCCACTCCCCAAGTACTCCCTCGTTCCCTTCGTGCACCAAATGACAGGCAAGATGAAGGTGACTGATGACTATCTGTAAGGTGTTCACTATGCTAAAAGGCCAATCCATGACATAGTATCATACAACAACTACCTGGTCACCGTCCTTTACGCATCCCCCAAAGACAGAGGGACAAAGACATAACTAACACCAAGTGATCATCGCGATTCTTGAACCTACTATCAGCATTCCTTAAGCACTTTCCATCCAAATCAGGTTAGTTTAGATGGTTTAAACAGACCCTTGTTAATGCAGTTACCTGGGCTTACACGGGTCAGGGAGCACTCCTAAGTGTTTCCACTGGGAGATGTGAGGGGACTAACATTTGGGACAGGACTGCTGACAAGCAGCTTGCATGGGACAGTAGGTAAACTCCTTCACCAGCACAGCTCTCTGAAAAACACACGTCTGTCTCAAACACAACTTGCCACCCGCTACAATTATCACCCTGGAATATGAATAAAAATTAGCATGGCTGATGTGGCATTCATTCTTCAGTTCATCTCTACAATCATCTTAATCTCTCAATATCAACATGTAGTTGTGTGTTTTGGGGGTTTTGGCTTTGGCTTTTTATTTTTTGTAAAAAAAAAAAAAGTTTAGCATAACAGCTTTTCTTACAGCAACATTGTTGACAAATGCCTAACAACAGATCAGCTTCTTTCTCCCAAAACATTATCACAGGCCACACTAAAAACAACAGCATTCGCACAAGCTCAATTTTTTTTTTTTCTTTCTTTCTCATTTTTACACATTCCTTTAAAGAAACAAAGGTTTCCTGTTCAGGAAAGAACTGAGCTCGCTGCACTACCATTTTAATGCCATTCATGAGAGTTGTTTATTTATACTACAGTGTCCTGTATTACATTTGCTACAGTCACAAATATTAATAGGTGGTCTCCCTGCTCCAATTCACGTGTGCAAATGGTACAGCTTCATGTAGCTGACAGGGTTTTTGCTTACAGCTGTCTGCCCTCATCTCCAGCTCACGGACAGCTAGATCTCTGTGTTTACAGTGTGCCATTTCAGAGTGAGCACTTGAACTGGGCTTCAAGGAAAAAATAGTAATTGTCAACTGCAGGCACTGAAAAGTCTTATCAGCTCACTGATGCGGCTCTCAGGTTAATAAAAAAATAAGAATTCTTAAGAACAAGTTTATGGCTGTTACAGAACTCAAAATCTGAAATGCTTATCTTGAGATGTTCTGTGAAATTACTGATGCCCTGACACTCAAAATCAATACGCTTCCAGGTGAGCTGAGGCTCAGAGGTGCCCCAATGAACAAAGAAGGACAAACACACGAAGAAGTCCTATTCATAGCCCACAATGATTCAAGTAGGAGATATATTGCAGTAACTCAAATGACTGCATGCCTCCAGAGACTGCACTCGAAATTTTTGTTAGAATTTCGAGTTACTGAATCGTACTCGCTACAGTCTGTACTGCCCACACAAAGCAGAAGTTACGTAAGCTTCTCCAAAAATATTTCTGAAAGACTAAACAATAGTTTCTTTAGGAAATAATTGTTCAACACCAATATAAAATTTACTCATCCGGCGTACACTTCCTGCATGACCTAAGACAACCCACGAAGACCACAGACAACATCTTCCAGGCCTAGTTGCTGTGAGAGACTACTGCTCCCACCTGCTCAGATCAGCACTCACAATGCTGCTCAGCCAACGAGCAACAGCAACGTTCCTTAATTCACTCAAATGCAATATAAGACAAAAAACCACAAGTGATTAATTCAGAACAACAATTTTGACTAAAGAGACTAGTTCGAATGCCACCTCAGTGTTGACAGGGGTTTGCACTATGTCTGTTTTGTCTGCAACATGTCTAGTTTGCTACTATGTCTACCTCTCCTTGTTCCTGCACCAGCCCCTCATCTCCCTCTTGGGCCAGCACAAGCGCGCTATACAGTGACCCAGACAGGGGAACACATGCAGATAAAAACTACTCCAGCAAAAAGGGGTATTTCAACTGGATCAGTTCCCACATCTAACCTGTCACCCAGTTAACACGAATAGCCATGCTGGGATGAAAGAGGAGCGATGCAGCCCTCTGGCAGCTGCTCAGGCTGGCTTTGACAGCACCCCTGGAAACGTGGTAAATCCTGGCCTCAGGTAACTCTGATTTTGCCTCCAGCAAATCACTCTGTTGTCACGAGCGGTGGAAACTCCATGCAAAAGACAGTATTGGCACATGTTCTTCGTCTCAGATCTGAAAATGGATAGAGCACACCTAAAGGAGAGTTAGCATCAGAAGGCAGTGTCCACAGGAAGGATTTCTGTGGCAGTTCCAAGTCTTTCAGCCACCCAACTGAAAATTACCGCCCTGGTAACTGAGCTGGAGAAACAAAGCACACCCAGGGATCCATCTGATTTCTCACTGACGACACGGTCTTCTGCCAGTTTTGCCAGGGAACAATAACCTCAAGCAGAGGGTGGAACAACCACTGGGTGTGGTAACAACTTTTTAGAGCACTCCTGCTAGAGCCTCCAGAACACATCTGACCCTGCCCTTTGGCCAATATGGGGTGTCCAGTGAGGGGTACGTAACTCTCAAAGCCTATGTCCAAAAACCCAGGGGGATCTAAAGCTCTTCAGGCTCTCATATTCTTTGCATGCACAGAACAAGAGATTCTTCTATGTTGTATTGGGCACCTATGTCCAATCCAAGTCCTATTTCTCTTAAGAAAGAGGTCACGACTATATTATGCCTAACACCCTGACAGAAACTCTGGACGACAGCTAGTGACCACAAACATGATTAAAAAAGGCAGGTAACAGGTCTGTCCTCTTTACAGTTAGCCAATAGTTACAGCACTACTTGGCACAAACAGTGTAACGTTGGGAATCACAGACCAATGCACAACAACTAAAAATCAGTTGGTTTTCTTCTTCTGCAGAATGTTGTTATGCAAATCGCAATTTAAGCAATGACTATCCTGTAAGTCCACTCAAGTCATTTGCATGAAGACAGATGTGTAGGCAGGGCATGTTTCCTTTCCATCCAGCTGCACCATCTCGTGGCTTTCCCCAAACCCAAGGTGATCAGCACCTTACTGAAAACCTGCAAGGGAACTCTAGCAAGTAGAAGAGAGCGCGCTCCTCCATGCTGCCAGTCAGCTCCCAGCATCTGCCCTGGGCAGACTGGTACAGCCTCCCAGTCTTCAGGCTACCTTCGTAAGACTTCACCGTTCAAGTAGGAATGACAAGGAAAGACCATCTCTCTTCATCTCCAGCTAGCTAACATAATTTACCTAAATCTTTCCACCGTTGTTAAGAAGGATCTGCTCCCGAGACACCCAGGTTTGAATACTGCAATCGCTGAGTGACGAGACTGAAATCTCACAAAACTGAGAAAAGCACGGGAATGCTACATGAAGGTCTGCTTTTTGCTGCTCTACTCAGAAAGGAGCACGTGAAACTTGAGGACAAAGCTCTGTCAACTAAAAGCTGTATGACTTCAGAGGGTAGGCAAACCTAGAAACAGTCCTTGGAAATCATCAATCATGATTCCTCTTCGAAAAAACCCAAACTTCTTCAAAAGAGTGAACAGTGAAGCAAACACTTTCAGCCACGAGGACGCAGAAGTATTAGAATCAATAATAAAAAACAACCAAAATAAACCTCAGCCTGAGCTTTTCAAAACTACAACCTACAAAGACTCCCACAAGAAAAATGACAACAAAAGCTACGGAAGTCACTTGAAACTTTCTTACCAGTTAAGTAAAGATGGCTTTCAAATAATCAGTTACATGAAGTTTCAGAAAACAGGCTGCAACAAGAAGCAATTTAGAACTTTACAGCAACACAGTCTGCATTCATGTTTCATGATGTATCAGTTTCCTCTACTACAGGAAGCAGTTCAAGGCTCTTGACTTTTAGAATCCTGCAGAGCTCCATGAACATCGTCCTCCTTCCTCAGCACAGCCTGCCCGAGGAAAGTCTACAGCCACCATCCACCTGACCACAACCACCAGTATCTAACGAGTGAGAAAGTGAAAACGACAGAAAACAGAGCCTTCTGAAAAGCCAGGCCTGAGACTGACTCGCTCCCAAGCTGATGTCAGCTGACCCGTGCTCAAGAGCTAACGAAGTCTCCTTCCTCAAGTTCTCCTAACATAACCTGTCACCTTCCATTGGGGGGGAAAAAAAAAAAAAAAAAAAAAATCAATCCACACAAAATCCTTAAAGATTTGTCTCTTTATGATTTAGGAAGCACAAAATTACTGTTTTCTAGTGCTGAAACACTTCTGGATACAATACTGACAAAGAGCAGTATAAAACACTGAACAAAAGCAACAGAGAATCTACTGTAGAACAAAGGAACAGACAGGAAAAAAAAAACAGTAAAAACCATGAGAACAATGAAAGAAGAGACACCAAAAATTAATGCAGAGAAAGGAAAAGGCAATATTAGCGAGCTCGTTTTTTTAGTGGATTAAACAAAAATGACCTATTAACACAGCTCCCTGTGCTTTACTACTGCTTTACTACTTAGTAAACTTTAGTTCTGCAGAAGGTTATTCCCAGGAAAGGCAACCGTGCAAGGAATTCTCACCACAGCTAGTCACTTTACTTAGGACAGCTGAAGTTTTCAAGGCTTAAAACAGAAACTAAAGAGCAACAATTAAAGAAGTCCCACAAAGACAAATTCTTTCATGTTATTTCCCAAAAAAACACCTCAAGAAGTAAATACGCTGTAACAGAGGTGCCAAAGTTTTGCCTTCCTAATTCAGCAATTATTTCATATTGCCTAGGACGGGAGACAAAAATTACAAGTCTATGTTGCTAACTATTTTTCCTGTAATGAGCTCAATATTTATCCAAATTGTGTATGTTCTCTTCAAAGCCTGAAGTCTAAAAAGGGTTTTTTAGGAGACCTACATTTTAATTTCTAGAACGCGAAGTATTATAGCACCTACAGGCTTCTAAGCAAGTTTTTCACCTCCATCGAGGTGAAAAAACCATCAAAAACCACCATCGACAATTCCATGCCACGCTGCTTTCCTTTTTTTTTCTGAAAAATCCAATTACTCTGAGCATAAAACAATTCTTCAGCATCAGTAATGAGGAAAAAATAAATAATACTCACCTGCTGTTTTTGATATGCCGTATTTGGGTTTATCTTCGATTCTAACAGTAGTGAACCTGAAAAAGATATGATGAGATATTTACTGAGTTTAACAAAATAAACATCTCCATCTATCTTACAACCACCACCCGTGTGCCAGCCGACACGTGCTCAACTTCATCTGCATCTCACAGAAAATCCAGGAGAACCATCTTCTTTAGACATAATTCCCTAAAATAAGCCAGGTAAACCAAAATTCAACAGAAACAACCAGATTAAAATGTACTTTTTTCTTCTAATTTAGGCCATAATTCTCTGTAGTGCTGGTTTTTTTCCCCGACATTTGGCGAGACAAGTAGCTTGTTTAAGGGCTGCGTAGCAAACCCATACAAATTCGTACCAGGCAACACGCTGCCCAGCATAAAAAATGGTTTTGCCCGCAGAAGCCACGTGGGCCCTTTGCTTTTATTTCCTTCAACTGTCCTTCCGAAGTGAATCATCCCGATACTATAAACCCAGGGACTTTATCTCGTGTATGCGAGTAGTGTGTGTATCCTGGCAACGGCTCCGGAGTAACTTACACCAGTCTTAGGTGGTTTATTTAGCACATTAGCACCTGTTGGCCGACACAGTGGCCAGCGGGCACGCTCCCCCCCGCAAAAGAGACCCTTAAGGTGACTGTAAAGTGCAATAAAACACGAGGAACGCCCCACGACTCCAACACAATCAGGGAATTTCTAGGGGGGAAAGAAAACAAGCAACTTTTTCTAGTAGTAAGGGGAGTGCGAGAGCACTTGGAAAGCGAACGAAGCGACTCCGAAAGCGAACAAGATGTCGCCACGCTAACAACTTCCATCTCATTCAGTCGGGAGGGATGCAGCCGCCGGGGGAACCGGGGAGGAGAAAGGCTGCGGCCACGGCGGTAGGAAACTTTGGGCAGAGCCGCGAGCTAAAGCAAAGAAAGGGGAAAAAAATAACCGTCCGTGATACACGCGGCGGTAGGGCGGCGGGAAGGCACCGGCAGCCGAGCGCGGCCGCGGCGGGTGTCAGCGCTGG